ACACACACACACACACACACACACACACACACACACACACACACACATCACAGAAAGCTTATATAACAGTCAGAATCATGAAGACAAAAATACTCTTGGTTTGTTGGGGTCTGTGTGGGTGTGCAGACGTGATTTAAACATGGCTTGTATTTTTAGCCCGTTATAAACACAGCAAGTTCACAACCCACATTTCTACCTCTCACAAGCACGCACCCAAACACACGCACACACACTCACACACACACATAAAACCCACACTCTGTAATTAGGAGCAGAGAAGACCAGTGTTTCATGGTTCAGCTCCACCCAAACAAGCCATTCACGCAAGCACACACATCACAAACACAGGCCAGTGTGTGCGTGTCTGACTAAACCCTTTATTCCTTCCAAAAAAAAGACAGGAGAGGTGATGGATAAGAGCTTAAAATCCTTCACTGCTTGGAAAACATAAACCCTCTTTCTCTCTTTCTCAATTTCCAGCTCTCACTCTGTTTTTGTTGCCTTCTTGCAATAAACCGTTTTTTATCTCCTTCGGTCCCGTTCTTACTTTAAAAGCTGGCCTGTGCGCCTGTGTGTGTGTGTGTGTGTGTGTTTGTGTGTGTGTATTGGGCTCTGCTCTGCAGTGACTGTGCAGAACGAGGACTGACACGAAGCTATAACATTAGAGGCCGTCTCCTCACTGCTACATAAATCCCCATTTCCTCCACAGCACGCTCTGCCACTCACAGCCTGCGCCCCTCTTTGATAGTTTTTATAGGGTGGAGAGGGGGACCCAGGCAGGAGGGGGGGGGGGGGTATATTCTCCTGCTGTACTGGCAGGAGAATATTAGGCTGTGTGAGAACATTAGGCTATAATGCTTCCTGACAGCTTGAGGAAGAGGACAATTAGCGGGGAACAGGAGTGGGAATGGCAGTGAGCAACAGGGGATGTCTGGAAGAAAGGGGGAAGGAGACAAGAGAAAGAGGAGAAGGTGGAGATTGGCAACTGGGTACAAAAATGAGTTTTAGACGTGGTACGAGCCTAAGCTGACTTCCACGCCAGACAGGATATAACCGGGTACAACACATGGCCTTGGTGAATCATGGTTTGAGTGAATCAGAGGAAGGGTGTGTTTGTGTGAGTTCTATCAAGATGAACCAGACAAACAGGGGAGGAATGTGTAGCTGTAGGCTGTGCCTTTCCACCTAAAACACTGTTATTTTATCTCCAAACATAGCAGCATATTTATCTGATTTACCCACAATGCAGCTGGCTTGCCTGATGACATGACTCTGAATCATAACACTAGTGTAGGTGAAATACTTAGTACCCTTCCACCTCAACAGACCACATAGTAAGCGCATCTGTCTTTGTCAGTTAATCTACACCTATAGCATCATATTCACAATACAAATAGGTTTGCATGTGTTTGTTTACATGTGCAGATGAGGAAAACATCATCAGGCAGCTGATTAAACTGTACTTTGGCACCAGATAAGAGCAGTTTAGTACTCCTGCCGAGGCGGTCTATGAGACTCGAACTTAATAACCTTTAGTATTTCTTGGGCGTTGTGTTTTGTGAGCCAGCTGGTCTATCTAAAAGTTTACATGAGCATGTGCAGGTGCGTACCCTATCTAGACTAAACATGGCATAGCAGACCGCCCTGACTTGTCAAACTTTCCTTTCCAATACAGCTGAAGGCCATGGGCTCCTTAGTGATGAATACCCTTCAACATCAAACACTACTGTATCATTGCTACCTGACACAAAAAGCAGACAGTTGGCCATCTGGCACATTTGGCTGATTGAGCATGTTAAATCACCGACAGTGATAGAGTCAACTAATTGGCTGTTCAGCCTGTCGACGAACTGTTTTTACCAATCTGACGGTGCTATGCGCGTTTGATTGGGTGCGTTTCTTTTGCCCCTCCACGGCTGGCAACATGGCGACGGCTGAGCCGGCGGCTCGCAGCTAACGGTGCAAACAGTGCAAACTACGTAAAAAAGTGCTGACAGAGCGAACAGTGTTTACCTGAGGGGTAACATGAGGATGGGTGCTAGGTCGTATGACAGCAGTGCAGAGCAGGGGCCATGAGCTAACCAGTGGGGCACGCTAACATACACAAACATGCACTAAAAGCATTGCACGTCCGGCCTGGCTATGTCAACACACAGAGAGGCTCGGATAACAACACACACAGAGGGAGAGCAACTTATCAACTTCATCCTCTGCTCAGGTAGACATTACTCCATTATATCTTTAGCTGATAGTTGCTTGTTGCTATATTAATGCTCTAAATCTTTACGGTAGTTTGTTCAAATCTTTTACTCCTCAAGCAGAGGAATGCAATGCCAGCTTCACCGTCTTAACTTATTCTCTATTTGTACTCCAGGTGTATGCAACAACACCCTCTAAACAGATTTGTCTTGTCTTGTGTTTAGGAAGAGTTTTTGGATTCGACGTCCTTGTTTCCTCCATGCACGTGCATGTGCAGACTGTTTAAGCAGTCGCCAGTCAGTTCTGGTCTGTGGTGTGTGCAAGAGTAGCTTTTAACAGAAGACCTGAGGTGACATGAGGCATCCAGAGGCAACACAAAAATGTTGAGCAGTTGGCCTCTTTCATGTTATTTGAGCTTGGCTTAGTGTGTCAAAAAAACTTTTTCTGCACATCAAAGTAAAGGGACTTTCAAAGCAGTTGTACAGAATGATTTGCGTATTTAAGACAGGATTCAAATACACATGGACTGCATATTTGTTGATATTCTTTATTTGCCAGAAAGGGGAAAAAATAGAGGGCTACCAAGATGTAGCAACCCACATATGATCAGAGTCCTTCCAGCATGAACCTGCTCTTTGTTAAAGGGTCACACAGAACGTTAGTTCCGAGGAAACTGAGATGCATGGATGCATATTTAACTTTTCTGTTTCATACAAACTCAAAAGACAACATATCACAGCAGAGGAATGTTCCCTATTATATGATTAAATCAGGAGTCTTTGTGTCAAACGATTGATCTAACTTTGAATCTGAACTAGCCCTGGTTTGACTACACATCACATGTACATTTAATGTTGAAAAGGGTCTGACAAACCTGACAGAAAGCAGACTTCTACACATTTCAGATGTTGCTTTACCTGAGTTAAGTGCCCGACTTGCTGTGAGGAATCCAAGGTTAAGCTGAGATGAAAAACACGCCACTTGTAAAAACAAGAAGAAGAAAAAATATCTACCCACAGCAGCAGACTGTCAGGATACCATGAGAAAAAAAAAGATATCCTTTGAATCAGTGAGGTGAGAGTGTGCATGTGCGTGAGACGGTGAAGTCCGTGTGTGTGAGGAGAGTGTATGTGTGTGAGCTGCAATGTGCAGAGGGCTGGGCGTGTTTCAGCTGGTACCAGCACATACATGCACACACTCACTGACACACACACACACACACACACAATGAACTGTGGTTCAGCCTAGAGGGCTGAACCAGACACCGGAGCCTCATGGGCGCTCTCCACACCTGGCTAAAGCCCTGCCCCCCATCTCTGAAACCTCCTCCCACTCCCTACCCATATATACGTCACTGACTATCGACTCCTCCAACTTTCCGCCCTTTCATGCTAGCTACCGCCTTCATTCAAACCATACCTCTGACCCCACAAACCTTCTCTCACCTCCCTCTTCCTCCACAGGTTCCTTTTGATCCCATCAATCTGCTGCTCTCCATATTCAGACTTGCCTTCTTTGCTTGCCTACGCAAGATCGAGCTTAAGTGTAACTACGTTGTACTCATTGTCAGTGCCTATTTATTTCCAAAATAACTGCACTGACTTCTCAAACTCTCAAACGATTTCTTTCTTCTCCTAACCTCGCCCTCTCTGGCTCTACGTGGCACAGTCTGAGTACAGGGTGAAGGTAGTAGTTAGGTGCTTAGTGGAGGTCGGCCAACACAGTTCAACTGCTGAACTTGTTCATAATCACAGAGAGCAGTGTCTAGAGAGACAGAAACTGTCCAACCTCTCTCTGCCTTTGCTCTTTTCTATAACCTCTTTTCTGGGGCAGAGCACTCCACATTTCTACAATTCCGCCCGGCTCTTGGCATTTGTTGCTGTTTATACAGTGTGCTTGAGCAGCACTTCCCAAATACATAGATGTTCATCGACCTTTTACATCCTCTGATAGCTGGAAAAACCAAAAAATCATCACATCTGTTCTAACAGCAGAGATTATAAATTAGAAAGTTGTCCAAATTTTTACAAGGCAGATGTAATTATGGCAATTACGTCATGTAAACTATGTGGCTTTATTGTAAGTCGTTTCTAATTACTTTAATTAAATAATCTCACATTGCATTTACATAAAGTTGGGAGGCTCGTAAAGACTAATTCAAAAATATAGTCAAAATGTATGCAGCAGATGAAGTTATTATAATGCAAGTTGACTTTTCCACATGTGTCCAGTCTTTTTTAACAAAAGGTTTTGGTTCAAAATTGTACATCATCTCTGACTTAAACCTCCTCCAGAGTTACAGAGGACATTCAACAGTTTTCATCGTCAACGGATCCAGATGTGTACAATTAGTGGATGGATATAGATCAGTGTGTATGTGTGTGTGTGTGTGTGAGAGATATATATATTCACTACACTTTTAAAGTAGGAGTGGTGCTGCAGGTCCCAGCACAGGCCCAATCTTTCTAACCACAGTTTGCCCATGGGGTGTTTTTAAATTGTGTGAGTAAATCTAGGTGTGTGCGCTCTGAGATTGAAAAAGAAGTAGCCGGTAGGCATGGATTTAACACACAGGTAAATTCCTGAGTGTAGACAGCAATAAATGTAGACTGACCCTCCTGCCTTTTTCACCTCAAGACCGGCTCAGGAGAATAATATTATTGTTTGCCTTTCAGGGGTGCGGGGCTAAATGGAGGGTTAGGGGTAGTGTACTTGAGGTCCCTGTGGGCCACTCCCTGCCACGCGACTCCAGAGTTCATCAGAAATAAATTACAAACAGGCCAGCATGCCCCTCATCCTCAGGGATCCCCCTGACCCCAAAGCCTGCAGGCGGACGCGGAGATTACAGAAGCCAGAAAGTACCACGCCCTAACTAAACACACCAGCACCAATGTGACTGGTGCATTTGCACAACAATGAAATAACATGCAGGATAAGTGAGGGTTTTTGTGGCACAGATTTGCCAGTGTTAATCTACAGGTAGACGTAACATGTCATTGCATCATGAAAAACCAATGGCACTCTGGGTTCGTGTTTCAAAGTCAAATGCAAAGGAATAGTTTGACATTTGGGTTAATTGTAAAAGTGACAGGACTCTGTAACAGCAGAACTTGTCCTGTTTGGCTTTTGGTTGGATTAAACAAAAATTATATAAATTGCTAATTATGGAGCTTTAGAGGTGCTGGTCGGTGAATTTTTTCACCTTTGGACAGAGCCAGGCTTGCTGTTTCCAGTCTTTATGCTACGCTAACTTAACTCACTGCTGGCTAGCTTTAGGCGCATTTAACAAAATGTCAAACTTTTCCTTTGAAAGTAGCTAAATGAACTTTTCAAAGACCTACAAACTCTCCCGTACTATGATTCAACCCTGTCTTTGACCAGACATGGTTGACATGGAAATGTGTACAGGACAACCAGAGTGCAGGAAGAGGTCTAAATGCTAGTGACTGTGTATGTTTATCCTATCTGTCTGGTTTAAAGTTCATTTGAACTGATCGATATTTTAACATGTTCTTATGTACAATAAGTGTGTATGTGGTGTTATGTAGTTACTGCATCTGACTGGAGACCAGCAAAACCCGTCTCCAGGCACATGGCTACCACTTCAGATTATTAACTTTGAGCTTCACTGTGTCCCGTCTGTCTGAAAGCACAGATGCTTTTGAAGCTCTACTGAAGCATGAATATCTCTGTCCCTCTGGACCCCAGCAACATCCCAGACAGACCCCTCCATACATGAACACACGCATCATCTCGCTAGTGGGTCCCGCCTGAGCGGATGTCTAAATATTTAACAACATTTTAAAAGCACCGGCCCACTTTTCCTTCCCGGGTGTCTGTTAAATCCTTCACATTTCAGAAGTAAGAAACTCAGATGCCCCCTGACATAGACAGACACTGGGGATTACTTATAGGAATGTCTCAGATCCTAAATCATCTACTTGTGTGCTCTTGCTAGCAGGTTCGCAGAGGGTCAATACTAGCATTGTCCTCTTATACCACATGTGGAAGCTCAGAGATAGGACTAAACAAACCAAAAGGTCAAATTACACGTCAGATTTTCAGTGACGGATTGTATTAATATGGTCCATATGATTGGGCATTCCTCTATAGAAGTAGCAACAGCCCACATGTGATTTTAAGAGTGGGATTGTCCAGGGTATAAGCGTGTGCCTCCAGTCTTCTCTGGTTTATCTCTTCTGCTTCCAGCTTAGGAGGGATTACACGTCTAATTCTAATTTCTTATCTACTCAGGCCATCAAAAATGTGAGGCCTGGTTTTTGTCAGGATTGTTTTGTTTTTTTTAAAACCTGTAATCGGAGAGACAGCTGGAGCTGTGGCACTTTATCAGCATCAGGACCAGGCTATCATCCACACCAGGCCTAGTGTGTGTGAAACACCACATGTGGTAAAGAGGATGTCTGTGAATGGGTGCATTTTGTGTGTGTGTGTGTGTGTGTGTGCAGAAGATAGTGGCTGCATTGGGAGACAGAGGCTCTCTTTCAAGAGATTTTCTTCCACCCATCAATTATATCACAGCCTACTGCGGGAGGGAGAGAGAGAGAGAGAGAGAGAGAGAGAGAGAGAGAGAGAGAGAGAGAGAGAGCAGATTTTCCCCAGACTAAAGCGAGCCAGGAGGTGACCTTCTTATTTAAGATAGACAGCAGCAGGTAATGAACATTGACTCAAACACGTAAGCTATGTGACCCCGAACTGCCTGGTCCTAAAGATACCATCTTCCTGTCCTTTCCTCCCTCTTTCCTTCCTCTTATCCCCCCACTTCTCCCGCTGCATTCCTGACATGCCTTAGGGAGACAGAGGGGGCCTCCAGGACAGACAAACAAAGACACACAACACACGCAACACACTCACAAAAGGCACTGGCTGCAGCCATTGTCTGTGTGCACTGAGGAAAAGGTCTTGGTGCTTGCATACCAAAAGAGAGCACCAATCCCCATTTCTCAAACACACATTTGCCCTCACTTTAGTTTGAGGCAGTGACACAAGAGCTAAGTGTCTGCACTGAAACTGTGGCTGCAGTAAACAATTTTCTCCTGCTCCTCCCAACACATTTTTAAAGCTACACCCTCTTGGACCCACAGACCGACAATAAACCATAAAACTCTGGCTCGGACTGCGATTTAAAGTGTGATGTCATGAGATTGCAAGTGAATCATAACAGCCTTTCGTGCTGGAGCTGCTGGTGTGGCATGAAAGGCCTGCAGCAGCTCTCTGCAGAATGTCAATGCAACACTGACCTCTTCTGGTAGAAAAAACACATAGCCACAGCCACCGATTTTATTCAATTAGATTTAACAGATGCAAGACTGAAAGGTCAGCAACAAATATTTGCTGTAGTAATTATCTGTCCAAAGTCATTAGCTAATAACAGTTACTGCTTGCACTGTTGAATCAGTGTCCATATGTACCCCAGAGTTCCACGGTGGTCAGGTTAATAGCTGGACTACATAGTTTAGTGCTTAGCTGACTAATCCCTCTTCCTTACTTCAGCTAACCCAATATTTCCAGGGTCCATATGACACATAAACATGTTGGATTACAGATGCCCACCAGAGCATGGGAAAACTCTGCGTGAGATGATAACCTTTGACACACACACAAGCAGAAAAACCCACAAGAACATAAAGAAACAACAAAATCCTTAGACACTTACCGAGGTGTAGTTGGTCTTGCCCATGTTGTGGTTCTGGTTGTGGTTGAGGTTCTGGTTCTCCTGCTCTCTGCACTGCAGCCCAGCCAGGTGTCTCTCCAGGGCTGCCCAGTCCATGGTGGGCAGAGGCTCCTCCTCTACACCCTCCTCCTCTTTGTATCCCCCCATCCGTCCCCCAGTCCCTCCACTGCCTCCACTGCCTCCTCCGCCTCCTCCACCACCAGCACCCCCGCCAGTGCTGCGGCTCCCCCTGCCTTGACTGGAGCTACGGTGGCGGGGCTTGGGAGTCCCTGTGCCCTCCTGTGGTGCACCGGGGGAATGGAGCTGGTGGCTCCTGGGCAAAATCAGATTGCCGTTCCGTTTCAGTTCCTGAGGGACGGCTGCAACTGAGGTGGCGGTGTGTCCGCCAGAGGCCGGAAGGGGTGGGACGGTCTTCACATCCTGGAATTCTTCAGCGAGGCTGCGACTGTTCACCGCCTTCCTATAGCCTTCGCCAAGGCCGTCAACCCCCACAAGGCCTCCTCCGCCTTCCTCTTGACCAGGAGGCTGTGGAGAGGTGTAGTCTTCTCCATACTCGCTCTCCCACTCCTCTATCACCTTCTTCTTATACTCTTGGTAGTCCTCGTCCTCCTCGTAGTTCTCTAAGGTGACCAGCTCTAGAGAGGGAGAGGATTTGTAGTCCTCCAAAGTGGCCAGGTCGAGACAAGGGGAGCAAGGTGTAACCTTGTTGGAGTTGGACTCTGAGCTGGAGCGACTGGAGGCATCGCTCCCCAGGTCCATGCCATCCTCCCGGTAATCCTGCAACGACAAAGGAACAGAGAAAAAGAGTGAAACAGAGGAAAGGCATGTGCAAAGAGCGAGAGTTTAAAATAGAGAAAGAAAAGAGAGGAAAGGAGGAAAGAGACGAGGAAAATGATAAGAGAATTTCGGGAAGTCTGTCGATTATTATATTAATTTGGTGTTTTGAGACCAACTACAAAGCACTTCCTGTCCTGCAGGAACTTCCTCTCTGCACAGAATTTTGCAGTCACGGTCTCTCTTGGACTTGTTGTCTAGTCGTCTGCTCAACAACTGTACTGCTCCAAAGCTTCTCAGTCTTACTCGACTATGCTAACTGATCCTACATTCCTCTGGCGAATGTGTACATGTGTGTGTGTGCGTGTGTGTGTGTGTGTGGGCTTGTGCGATACCTGACACACACAGCCAACGCGGAGTCCGTGTGGCTGGATGTGTCAGAATGATATCCCACCACCCACTGCTACATCTGCAGCACCACAGGAACAAAACACGGGTGTTGTGAGGGGTGAGATCAATTGACACTGACATGTCAATACACACCAAACTGTGACACGGACAGATGAGTCCAGAGTTGTTGTCTAACCTTGACTGTGTTGCTCCCGCAGAGAGCCCCAATCACCAGCTCGCTGATTAGTTCACAGCTAATGAAAATGTCCACGTTGTTTACAACCCTCCACAAATCTCCACCTGACCTGAGCCTTCTCTTGCAGAGATATCAGTCTTTTCTCCACAGGAGCGCATTATCATAGTGCCTCACGCCACTTTTAAAAGTTAATGAAAAGCAAGGAGCTGCAAAATTTCTCTCAGGGCAAAGACAAATTAACGACATATTCCTACGTGATCCACATACTGAGTTGTCCTGGAAAAGGAATTCATTATGAAGATTGCTAATTGCTGCTTCAGAGGACTTACAGTCGTTTTGCACCAGACTCAAGAGGGAAAAACTGCCATACTACAATATTATCCTAATTATAATAAGCTTTCCTGAGTTACTGTATGGCCACTAAACCACACCTGTGCCGGCTGTTGACGTCAAAGCACAATGCAGAAAATATCTATGTTGGGTAAAGCACTGAGCAAAAAAGACTCAGCAACTTGGAGACTAGATACACAAATTGCTGATGCGGTGTAGAGACCTAAGCCACTCTATGATGAGGAGTTTGCATTTCTCCATAAAAAGTCTAACAGGGATAAAGATTGCGCTAGCTGCACAAACGGGGCCACAAAAGCCATGTTTTGCCTTGGCAAGGTGTCGTTAGACAGAACTATTTTCAATGTTATTCGAACAGCCTCGGTAACATATTGAATTGCCACTGGGGTGTTGGGACCTCCAGGGTGTTCAGAGGCAGAGTTGAGAGTCAGTATTAATAACCCACCCAGGAATTAGACCAGTGCCAGGATGTTTGGTTATGGTTCTGCTTGTTGTCCCTCAGTCTAGACAGTAATAACATGCAGAATCCCATATTCTCTTCCTGGGCATCATTTCCAACAAGATGTGGGGTTTTTTAACATGAAAAACTCCAGGAGCCCCAGTAGGTCTACAACTGAAAGGGGAGGACTTAAGGGCACACAACATTACCAGCCTACTTATGGCCTAATGCTCTGAAATCGCTTAGATCTAGTATTTTACAGCGAAACAGCCCGAATCACAATTATGCACATTTGTAAATGAATGCATAGGCTTAAAAAAAATGATTATGGATCATACAATAGACCTGGTATCAATGTATCGGTACAGCGGAGAAACAACCCTTACCGATGTGCTCATCAAACGCGCTGGATCACCACACGGTCACCAGTCCCTGTGGTGTGTGAACCAGCCTGTCATCTTGGCTTTGTCACCCCTTTATAAGTGCTTTAAAACCCGGTTTCAGGAACCGGGTTTTCCTCTCCAAGTATAGGACGAACGCTGAATAGAAGCGGAGTATCAGAGCTTCGATCGCGTTTCAAATCTCGGTCACCGATCCTTTTTTTCTTCTTCTTCTTTAAGTGTTATCCCGATTTGTGCGGCATCAAAACAGCGCTTGGTTCCCAGATATTATCGCGTCAATACATGATGGTCACATGAGTCCGATTCAAATAATGTAGGCCTAATCATTTAAAGTGTGTCTGTGTGTGTGTATGAGAGAGCGCGCGAGCGAGCGAGCGAGAGAGAGAGAGAGAGAGAGAGAGGAGCGGTAAAGCTGATCCGCTGTGGGATTAACCGAAGCGCAGGGAGACCGTACAGGCTGGATTTGGCCACGAAATACATGCAAATTGACAGCTGCACCGGTCCCCACCCCGCAGCCGGGCGGGTGTCTAGGGGGCGTTTAATTTATGTCACAGACTATACCTCACAACTCTGCCCGTCGTTCTCTAGGTGGTGGCATCATCGCATATACGCCCAGTCTTTGCGTGCGTCGAGCGTGTACTCCAAGTGGCATTGCTGCACGCATGACAGTTGCATGATATAGGCTATCGTGTAGGCTATTTTAAGGGTTGACATTTGACTGGAAATACACATTGTTATAATAATTTGGATAACACGCACGCGTTTCTTCAATTTGTTATTCATAGGCTACTCATATGATGTAATGTTCCCAAAAAGTCCCTGGAGGAACGTGATACCCCCCCGGCAACAGCGGTGACAGAAACGTCTATATCCCCCTCTCGTTACGCTATTATCGGGCCAATATTAAAGTCACCGGTTCAAAGCTACCCAGCTAAAAGTAGCCTGGTTGCAATATCAGCGCCATTTAAACGAGCCGATACTCACTGTCATCATCTTTGCAGCTTCCCCGTCGCGTCTCAAGACATTGTAAAGTGTGAATCCCAGCTGTTAGACAACGGTGGTGGTGCTCACTTGTTTCCCAGCAGCTTTATTTTAAGGGCGGGTGTTGGTGGGGCTGGCTTCGGTGGAGAAATGACAGAGAGCCGGTGGATCATTCAGTACAGTCATCGCTCTGAGTGTGTAGCCTGTCCACATAGGAAGACAACCGGAGTCTTGGGTCCTGCCTGTCCTGATTGGACAAAATACCGCAGATGTCTTAAAATCCCAGCAGGTCAACGCCGCTTCTTTTCCTCCCCTCCCCGGCGCACGCAGAGAGATGCCCGGCCCCAGCCAGTCCAGACTGCACGCGCTCTCTCGCTCCCACCACGTCAACTGGAAAAATAAATAGCCTCTGAGTAAAGTGCGGCTCCTTATGTTGTGGGCACGTTTCAGCGCTTTTTCACACAACCAGGCGGCTTTTATCACTCCGTTATTACCTAAGAAGCGAGACTTACAACTAAGCGCAAAACAAGCACGCCGCTGCTCCCTGGCTGGCACAGGCTCTGTGTAGGTTGAGGCTCTCTCTCTCTATAATAAGACCCGTCTCTCTGTCGCAGCACGCAGCTCTGAGGAGAAAGTGACGACAGAACACAACTAAATCCCAACCTTCTGCACCCACTGACCTTGCAAAGAGAGGGAGTGAGAGCAATAGAGAGAACAACTATCTAGATGATTTAGTAAACATACTTATGCTGTTCTGAATTTAGAACGTTTCAAAATCAATTTTCTATCACATAAAAATAAAAGAACTTGAGAGATTTCTGTTGTATCCATTTTGCCTCACATATAAAACAAAATGTCTCTACTTTTCATCAGAGTTTGGTACAGCTGTATAATGCAATCCAATGCAACATCCCTGCGATGAATCCAGCCATATTGTGACGGCTGTAAATGCTCGGTTTGGGTTGAGATGGTGTCACTCATATAACTCTGTGGAGTCCCCACTGCAAGTGTTCACAAAGGCAGGTTACATTTAAAGCTAAGCACAATCTAGACTCAGTGTAATATTAAAAATACCACTTTTAATTGTACAACATAAAAACGTTCTGCAGCATAAAGGGCACCTACACATCAAATATCACATATTGCTTGGAGACTTCCATATTAGATTAACAGAGCTGCCTAAGTCCCCAACAGTGCATGAGGAGCTCACAATCTATACACCATTAAAGGTTAACTTCAACACCACTGGCATTCTGCCTATATCTAGCCGATACTTTCTGGAGCTTTGTAATTGAGTTTGGCAGAATATCAAACCTCACTAATTCAGCCCAGTAGGCTACAACCACCACAAACTACAGCTTTGCAAAATGACCATTATAAACACCATCTCGACATGTTGGCAAAAAAAAAGAGAGAACAT